TGAATAAGACCAATCAACTTGCTCAACAATACAAACCCTTCCATTGTCAGTCTCGAACTATTCATCAGCTCTAAACGAATAGGTCGCACGCATGTTGGTACCTATTTAGTTTTCTATTCCATTATTTCCATTATTTCAAGTATACTGCTAGCAGTCGATAACATTGTGCAATACTATCCAAATCAACTGATCAACAATAAGAAGCAGCATGACGTGTTCCATTGTTTTAGTGGTAAAACTGGTTACAATACGCTTGTCTATATGCGTATATGGTTGAGTTCATGTGTAGCATTCGAACGTGGTTGAATCATATGTTTCGATAATAGAATGAATGCTAAACGATGGCAATCGTGGGTTGCTATCAATGCTCTCTTTGTAATAGCCGGTGACTCTGCTACACCATTGCTCGTATACAAGTGTGACTGGGATAATGTGCCAAGGTTGGATACTTTACGGGTTTTTTCAATCTTTTTTACATTATTATAGGTGTTGCAATCTATGAATTGGCAACTGTGTTAATCTTGATTAGTTTCACACGTCGTATACGTCGATAGGACACCGAAAATAGTTCATTCATAAGAACATTTCTTAAATTATTTCGTACTCATTTATTCATCTTTGTACTACCAATTGCTTATGGCCTCAACTATATTCCATATACTATTACCTACAGAGTAAATAAACCTAAACAATCGTATTTTTCATGTGATATTTCAACTGGAGACTATTATAAGAGTGTTAGCAGAAACACTGCAGGGAATACCGGTTATTATGGCATGGCTACTCTTTGTTTATCCATCGAAAGTGTATATGACCGAGTTTTATTTGAACACATGGTTAGGACAGTGTATTCGTAAAATGTTAAGCTTGTTCAAAGCAAGTGTGAACAAAAAAATGAATGTTCATCCTTTTACTACCAATTGCATAAATAATGAACATGATAACAGAGAGTTACAAAATGCAAATTAGTAATTGAGCAGTATTCATTTATTATTGTATTCTATGCTTTATGTTACTCATGATAAGGGTTGATCATTTTTTTTGCTTTCAGTTTTTGACTTATACGTTTGCTATGTAAGAATAACCTATTCTAACTGCAAACACTTTCTCAATAAACAAGAGTAAAACTAAACGCTAGAGAGATCTGTCACCAGTTGGCACATGTTTCATTATATTTTGGTTTTGATTTATCATTGAACACGAAAATAAAATTATCAAAAGATTGTATTTACACATAACACTACATCTAAACGTGACAGATATTTTTCGTATATTGTATTCATCACTAATGAACGACATTTGAGTAGAAACTGCTTCAGTCTTTTTTTATATAAAATAGAATATTTTTGAACTAAAATAATTGACTTTCATGAAAATATTGACGGAAATGTATGAATGTGGACCGGCGTGATTACGGATGCGGATGTGGTCTTGGCTTTTTATTGCAGTCGAACTCACACCTACATCCATACCCATTCACTCCGACATCTACATCTACAGATTCACAACCACATACACGCGCACGCACACAAACACTCATACAAAACTATACCCACACTCTTACCCAGATCCACACCTACATTCACTCACACCTAACCCCGTCCAGCATCTATATTGCAAACCGAAATCTATACCCATATGCTCTCGAACACTCATCGTACTCGTCGTATTTCTTTCACCGTCTATTTGGGTAAAAGCCAACTCATAATTGAGCATTGCAAACTAAAACGGCGTAGATATATGCGGTAAAAGAGGATTCACAAATCCAAACCCACAACGTAAGAAACGATTGAAGGTTTGAATATCGCTGTTGGCGAAAATGAGAATAACAATCTTTGATTTGCCATCACATTTTCATTCCCATCCACATACTCTCACTCTCAATACTCTGACATGTGCACATCGATGGCAAAATCCAGTCCTGAGAAGATACAACAGCCTTGTGTCAACAATCGTTGGCAAGCTATT